AGTAAGCACAATGATTTTGGTACTAAGATATTAACTACAGTGTTGTCCATATTGGCAAAAAATAGAAAAATTAAATGATAATGTTAACAATAATCATAAATGCTTATAATCAAACACAGTAGTCTGGCTACAGAGTCCATATTCTTTTTTTAAAAGATTTTATTTATTTATTTTTAGAGAGAGGGGAATGAAAGGAGAAAGAGTGGGAGAGAAACATCAGTGTGTGGTTGCCTCTCATGTACCCCCCACTGGGGACCTGGCCTATAACCCAGGCACCTGCCCTGACAAGTTCGAGAGAATCGAACTTGTGACCCTCTGGTTTGCAGGCCTGTGCTTAATTCACTGAGCTACATCAGCCAGGACCAGAGTCCATATTCCTTACCACTAAGATGTAAGTATATGGAAACAAAAAATAAATTAAAGTACATTTGTACCAAGAAACACTGCAGGCATTAAAAGGAGTGAAGTAAAAGAATATTTTAACAATGAGGTGGATCTATTTGTATTAACTTGGAAAGATCTCCTAGAAAGTAACCCCCCCCCACAAATGACAGAATAATATATAGATGTAATATAATCTTATCTGTTGCAAAAAACACTATATAAAAGTAGTTGTATGCATTTTTAAATGCACAGAAAAACCACTGGAAAGATAAACTATAAATTAATGGTGGTCACATCTGGTGAAGAGAATAGAGTTAAATAAGGTAAAGGGGAATTTCATTTTTACTTCATAAATTTTAATGATTTCCTTTTTAAGTAATAACTATATATTATTTGTGTAATTAAAAAGAAAAAGGAGCAATTATAAATCTTCACTTCCATTTTTTAATATGAAGTTCATTATTACTGTTAGTTATCTGACAATGAACTTGTATACCAAATAGTTCTAGAATCATCTTAAAGCTTTTAAAAAATACTAATGCCTGGGTCTTACTCCAGACCAATTAAATCAGAATCTCCAAGGCAGAGTTCTAGGCATCAGTACTTTTTAAAAAATAGTTTATTTTTTATTGTATTTTTCCATTACCATTTATTTATACCCCTTACGCCCTCTTCCACCTCTCCCCACGCCTCTCCCCACAACCACCCCCCACAACCACCACACTGCTGTCCATGTCTGTAGGTCCTTTTCCTTTTCTGTCCTTTTTCTTTTTTGCTTGAACAAAGCTTCCCAAGAGACTAAAGTGTGAAGTGCCTTGAGAACCACAGCTGTGTACAAACCCAGGTTCTGCACCAACAACCTTACCAAGGGATTACTGTATAATCTCAGCCATGAAGGATGTGGTACAAACCAGTAAATACATCTCCCAAAATACTGTTTCAACAGATCAGTGATGCCTCAAAAAGGAAAAAGAAAAGAAAGAAAGAAGAGCGGGAGGGAACAGGGCAGGAAGGAAAGGAGGAAAAAGGCAGAAAGAAAGGAAAGAGGGAAGGTATGTATGCATGTTTCATTTCCTTACTGGGAACGAAAAATGACTCCCTAAAATTTCTGACTGTGGTCACACAAAAGCCCACAACCTTTTACTATCACCAATCCTTGCTTATTTCTGGAAGGAAAACACTGCAAATCTACTGAGTTTGACTTCAGAAGTGATTTCTTTTTCTGAGGCCATTATTCAGTTCTTAGTTCATCAATCAAAGACGGGTTCAATGTGTAGTCGCCCATGTCATCAGAATGGGTGATAATTTATAGCTCTTGAATCTATTGATGCTTTCTCTAAACTTCAACCATCATTACCAAATAACTTTTATTGATTTCCCATAACAACTCTTTTAATTCTCCACCTTCCGTTGCTTCCATATAAAAGTTTTCAAAATCATTTACACTTGTTTAGTATGGATATACTTATTTAATAATCATTTCTCCTAACAGCCAAATTCTGTTGGCTTTGAAGTAGAAAATTACTTTCTTATATATGTAGATACCATAATAACATCTCTGCTTTTAATAAAATCTACTAGCCATGGGATTTTAAAAAGCTTAATACTAAAATCACATATTGTCTAAAAGAGTGCCACTGATAAAGTAACTACTTCTCACTCTGTCTTCTATGCTTAGAGCATAAGCAAGTCCATACTAGGTGGTCTACATCCTGCAGGGTAAGTTGGCAATGTTATATTTAAAAAGCAACATTTAGTCACTGTAATTGACATTCTGTTCTTTCTGTTGCACAGTAAATGAGAGATGTTTGGATGATTCTGTATCGCCTAGTTCTGCTCATAGTAAGCAAGGGCCAATCTATTCTGGCATGAAGCTAATGTGCATTCCAACTCTAGAACTTCTGGCAGTAGAAATGAATAGTCTGTCTCCTCCAAACTTCAGTTTTCAGATCATTTACTGCAGTTATCTGGGATCTATATTCTGTTCAAAGAGAGAGAGTGTGTGTGTGTGTATGTGTGTTTTAACTTACTAACTACTGTTCAAACCTCATTATATGATTCCATGATGAGAAATCATCTCAGTACCTTATGTGTTAGTGGATTCAACTACTTAAAATACTGATAAATTCAATAAATTCAAATGAAAGGCAGAAAAATACAGGCACTTAATATCTACCATATGTACAACTTTGTACTAGATCCTAATGAACTGTATGTGAATCATTATTAGCTGAATGGTAAGACACATAGTTACACATATTTTACCTTGTCTGATCATGTCTTCTGACTGCTTTTTGGACTGTCTTATGTTTATTAGTTCTTGGATAACTTTCTGATTAATGCCATAGACTGTCATCTACATTGTAATGCCAGCTAAAAAGGCAACGAATATTTTGAAAACCAGCTAAAATACATATCTTGAAAATCAGCTAAAAAAGCTCTATTCACAAACCTTTCATCATCTCATAAAAACAAGGTAAGATGGAAAATGTGGGCAATGGATATATGATGAGTGGCATGCAGGGTACCAAGAGAAGTCAGGATTGAACACACAGCAGTTTAAAAAGAGGACATGGAAGGGACCATAGATCGTCGGAGAAATGGGGGCAATGATTTTTATGGTTGGCATGATTTCGCAAGTCATTCTAAGATGGTATGTTTTTCTTGATGCCACATTGAAATTTTTTTTACTACTAATAAACATTTGGCCAGAAGCAAAGGAAATTTTAAAACAGAAATTTTGTCATGATTACTTTATATGTAAAGCAATAGTTTGTTATCTGGAGAACTGAATGTAAATATCCAAACAGTATATGAAAGAATTCAAATACATAATAAATAAAATTACTTAGATATTAAAAAAACCTTAGCCTTCCTAGCCATGGAAGAGCATATTCTTTTTTAAAAATATATTTTATTGATTATGCCATTACCGTTGTTCTATTCCCCCCTTCATTCCCCTCCACCCTGCACACCCCTCCCCCATCATTCCCCCCTTTAGTTTATGACCATGTGTCTCAAGTTCTTTAGATTCTATATTTCCCGTACTATTCCTGTCCTCCCCCCATCTATTTTCTACCTACCATCTATGCTACTTATTCTCTGTACCTTCTCCCCCCTTCTCCTTCTCCCCTGTTGCTAACCCTCCATGTAATCTTCATTTCTATGGTTCTGCTCCTGATCTAGCTGTCCTCTTAGTTTGCTTTTGCTTTAGGTGTGGTTGTTAATAACTGTGAATTTGCTGTCCTTTCACTGTTCATCTTTTTTATCTTCTTTTTCTTAGGTAAGTCCCTTTAACATTTCATATAATAAGGGCTTGGTGATGATGAACTCCTTGAATTTGATCTTATCTGAGAAGCACTTTATCTGTCCTTCCATTCTAAATGAAAGCTTTGCTGGATAGAGCAATCTTGGATGTAGGTCTTTGGATTTCATGACTTGAAATACTTCTTTCCAGCCCCTTCTTGCCTGTAAGGTCTCTTTTGAGAAATCAGCTGACAGTCTGATGGGGACTCCTTTGTAGGTGACTGTCCCCTTAGCTCTTGCTGCTTCTAGAATTCTCTCCTTCATTTTAATCTTCGTTAATATAATTATAATGTGCCTTGGTGTGTTCCTCCTTGGGTCCAACTTCTTTGGGACTCTCTGAGCTTCCTGGATTTCCTGGAAGTCTATTTCCTTTGCCAGATTGGGGAAGTTCTTCTTTATTATTTGTTCAAATAAGTTTTCCACTGGTGGCTGTTCCTCTTCCCCTTCTAGTACCCCTAAAATTCGGATGTTGGAACATTTAAAGATGTCCTGGAGGTTCCTAAGCCTCTCCTCATTTTTTTTGAATTCTTGTTTCTTCATCCTTTTCTGTTTGGTCATTTTCTTCCTTCCTTCCTTCTGGTCCGCTCCCTTGTTCTGAGTCCCAGTTTCCTTTTCATTACTATTGGTTTCCTGTGCATTTCCATTCATTTCAATTAGTTTAGCCTTCATATGTTCCTCTCATTTGTGACTAAAATCAACCAGTTCTGTGAGCATCCTGATCACTAGTGTTTTGAACAGTGCATCTGAGAGTTTGGCTATTTCTTCATTGCTTAGATTTATCGGCTCTGAGGCTCTAAGTTGTTCTTGAGCCATGTTTTGATCTGTTCGTGCCTGTTAGGTATTAGAAGCAGAGCCTTAGATGTTGACCAGGGCGGGGCCATCCAGGTCACTGGTTTGTGACACTGTATGTGGGGGCAGGTCAGAGAGGGACAATACCAGTCCCCTCTGCCGCTTCCCGTCACTGGGGCCTGCACGGTCTGTCTCACCACTCGCTCCTTCACCAGTTTATCTGTGTGTGAATGTGTGACCACGATCAGCCCTCAGTGGGTCCCCCCGCTACTCCACACCTGGGATCCACCTACGGCTGCTGGTTCACCTGGGTCTCGCACCTGGGTCGGTCGGGTGGCTCTTTAGTGCCCGACCCTGCTCTGCTGCTGGTTCTGCCCCTCTTACCGGTTTGGCTGAAGGGTTCGTTATTGTCAGACTTCCATATAGTTCAATTTTCTGTGGTTTTGGCTGTGTTTTTGTTGCTAAAACTTTGTTGTTTTTAGACTTGGTTGTGTGAGGAGGCAGAGTGCTTCCACCTACACCTCCATCTTGGTGGAAGTCTGGAAGAGCATATTCTTGTTTATTGGCAAAGCTGTCAGCATTTAATTGGTATCAGATTATGACTTGCACAAGTAACATTCTTAAATAAATAAATAAATAAATATTTTTAAAAACCCTTAGGAATACAGATAATAACTGCAAAATAAAAATGTGACCAGTTCATGTTTTATCATGAACATACTCCTCTGTTAGACATACTCCTCTAACATCCTCCTCTGTTGGAATGCAGAAAGAAGAGCCAATATGAGAAATTTCGAAGAACTTGTACACAGGTCAAGGATCAATTTCAGTGGCCTGTCAGAGGAACTGTGCAGAAGATTAGGCAGCAGTTCTAGGTGTGCAAACCAACTGTTTGCAAGCTGGAGGCAAAAGAGGGCAGTTTAAAAGATGATGGATGCTACCTTAATTTTACCCAAATGAGTTATTATTATTATTATTTAGTCAAATGGGTAATTAAAAGCTTTGAAGGAAGTTACCATGACTGAGTTGTATTTGATGAAAGTAATAATGTTGGTAGTGTGAGTTTCTATGAACATCGAGTGTTAAAAAACCTCCTTAACTGTTGTACTACTAAATTAATATTACTACTGAATTGTTGCTGTATTACTGAATTAGTGAGAACTATGTGCACACTTTCCACCTAAACAAACAATTTCATTAATAGCATGAAATTTTCTATAAGGGACCCATTGTCTTAGGGCACACTATTTTGCAGGATCTTTCTAAAACAGACCCTCAGGATTAATTCACGTGCAAAAGGCAAAAGGAGTTTGTGCCAAACCTTCTCTATACTTACTCAGGGATTATAAGGAGTTAAAACTAATGTGCTGAAATCACCAAGGAAAGGCTCTAATGATCGATAAATCTGATCTATTCCAGCACCAGCTGCTGCGGAAGAAAATGATGAAGTACAGATGAGAAGTAAATGACCTCTGTGCACTCCCCCCCGCCCAACTGGTCTTTCTGTGACTCACTTTATGCTGCCCTTTACCAAGAATCAGCAGTTCTTAAACTGTTCGTCATGTAGGTAGGTAGGTGACAACTGAACAAGGAACATTGCTACTATGAATAACCTCCATAAACTGTGATATTACCTCCTCTCTGCAGGTCTGATTTTGAAAACTGAAGCTTAAGGTTAAGTCATGTAAGGTGTTCTTGGCCTTGGGGCTATTTCTCCCCAACTCCTTACTGTCTGCAGTTGTCCTTCATGTCATCCAGCCTTTTATATGACTAAAGCTTGATGGTCACCCTGCTAAGGAATCCAGCAGACCTTTTCTCTGATCATTGCTCCTTTAAGGAAGTCTTATTTCCCCATTTGAACATTTTAAGTGTGAACACATGGCCACTTATATAAAAAGAGACAGCTGTCAACCAAGGATGGAGGTAAAAACTGAAGGTGGAGGTATGAGAAGAGCAGATAGGTCCTTGGATGGAGACAGGACTGTTTACACACGTCCAAATACCTTAATGTTACCCATTAGGACTGGATTCTACACATCATACAAATTTATGTCCATATGGTATACGCCCAAACTAGCTTGTCTTAAAGCCAGTTCCTTGAGTATTTCAACCATAGAGTTTCCTCCTCTATGAAAACTTTGATCACCCTTTGATTTTTGACTGGTAGAAATTTACATGAAGAATCTGGTTTATTCTCTCAGTAAGACAAAAGAAACAGAGCCACTGAATAATTCTTCTATTTTTTTCTAACAAATCTTGAAAAATATCCTGGCAGGTATGCTGAAAACAGGAAAAGTTATTTGGATAATACTATTTCGACATCAGTTTCCATACTGCATTGCCCCAAGTATTGTCTGCTTTTCCCAGAAGATATGAAAGACTTCAGGAAACAGCACTTCTTTGTAGTCTTTTTTCTTTTTAATTTTTCATTGAACACAGTTGAGAATTCAGAATTTTTCATTTTCTGTCCTTAATGGCAAATAGAAGAAAATTTCCAGAAGATGTTTCACAATTGTTAGAAGAATAAGAATACAAATACAAAGACAGACAACAGCACCTCAGACTCTTAACCATGATGGTGAAATTAACTGGATAAGCTGTAATTCAGGTCATGAGTCTTTACATAAGGTAGTATCTGAGATACATGCATATTTTCCTCAAACTCAGGAATCAAAGAGTGAACAATATATTTCTAAGACAAGAAGGAAATTTGTTATCCAGTTGGGGTAGATGGCATCATACAATATTTTAAAGAAATTTTTTAAAATATATTTTATTGATTATGCTATTACAGTTGTCCCATTTCCCCCCCCATCCCATTTGCCCCGTTTATTCCCCTCTACCCTGCACACTCCTTCCCACCCAAATTTCCCCCCTTTAGTTTATGTCCATGGATCATACACGTAAGTTCTTTGGCTTCTACATTTCCTATACTATTCTTAATGCCCCCCCAGTCCAGTGTATTTTCTACCTACTATTTACGCTACTTATTCTCTGTACTTTTTCCCCTCCCACTTCTCTCCTCATAACCCTCCATGTAATCTCCATTTCTGTGATTCTGCTCCTGTTGTAGTTGTTTACTTAGTTTGTTTTGTTTTTGTTTTTAGGTTCAGTTGTTAATAGCTGTGAGTTTATTGTCATTTTACTGTTCATATTTTATCTTATTTTTCTTCGATAAATCCCTTTAACATTTCATATAATAAGGGCTTGTTGATGATGAACTCCTTTAACTTGACCTTACCTAGAAAACACTTTATCTACCGTTCCAGTGTAAATGAAAGCTTTGCTGGATAGAGCAATCTTGGATATAGGTCCTTGCCTTTAATGACTTTGAATACTTCTTTCTAGCCTCTTCTTGTCTGCAAGGTTTCTTTTGAGAAATCAGCTGACAGTATTATGGGAAATCCTTTGTAGGTAACTGTGTCCTTTTCTCTGGCTGTTTTTAAGATTCTCTCTTTATCTGTAATCTTGGATAATGTAATTATGATGTACCTTGGTGTGTTCCTTCTTGGGTCCAAGTTCTTTGGGACTCTCAGAGCTTCCTGGACTTCCTGGAAGACTATTTCCTTTGCCATTTGGGGAAGTTGTCCTTCATTATTTTTTCAAATAAGTCTTCAATTTCTTGGTCTTCCTCTTCTTCTTCTGGCACCCCTACGATTCAGTTGTTGGAATGCTTAAAGATGTCCTGTAGGTTCCTAAGCCTCTCCTCATTTTTTTTGAATTCTTGTTTCTTCACTCTGTTGTGGTTGAATGTTCCTTTCTTTCTGCTCTAAACCAGAGCAGAAAGCTGCTCTGATTTGAGTCCCGATTTTGTTATTGTCATTGTTGGTTCCCTGTACATTTGCTTTTATTTCACTTTTCATAGCCTTCATTTTTCCTCTAATTTGCGAACATATTCAACCACTTCTGTGATCATCCTGATTACCAGAGTTTTGAACTGTGCGTCTGATAGGTTGGCTATCTCTTCATTGCTTGGTTGCATTTTTTTCCTAGAGCTTTGATCTGTTCTTTCATTTGGGCCATTTTTTCGTTTTTGTCTCAGCATGCCTGTTACGTAGTATGAGGCAAAACCTTTGGTGTTCATCAGGGCGGAGCAACCTATGTCACTGAGTTGTGACACTATATGTGGGGGAGGGGTCCGAGAGGGAACAGTGCCACTTGCTGGGCTCTCTGCTGAATCTCAGTCTCTTCCCCTGCTTCCCACAAGCAAATTGGGCCCTTCTGGTGCTGATTCCCAGGTGGGTGGGTTTGTGTACCTCATAGGACCCTGTGGGTCTCTCCAATGAACTCTCCTGTAAGGCTGGGAGTCTCTCCTACTGCGGCTGCAATGCTCACAGGTGTTTTCAGTCAGAGGTTTGAGGCTTTATTTCCCCGTGCTGGGGTCCTGGGTTGTGCGGTCTGTCTCCCGGTTGTTCTTCCTGGTTTATCTGCACATGAATGTGGGACCACCCAGTCCGCCAGCTGCCTCTTTGCTGTGAGTCCTCTCCTACAGGTCTGGATGAATGTTTCTTCTTTTAACTCATTGGTTGTTTGACTTTACCATACAATTTGAGTTTCTGTCAGTTCTGGGGGTTTTTTGTTTGTTTTTAAATATGTTGTTGTCCTTCTTTTGGTTGTGCGAGGAGGCACAGTGTGTCTATCTATGCTTCCATTTTGCCCAGAAGTCCTTTTTTTTTCTTTTAGAATAAATTTTTGCTAAAAGGGCAATGTAACAGTACTTTCACCTGATATAGTTTAATAGGTGGGCAAACACTAAAGGAACTGACTGAAAGGAGGTAAGTAGCAGAGAAATGAACAAGCTCATTGAATTAACCAACCTAGTCAATGTTTAGAAATAAAAATATTTTGCTATTATAGGCTGAAGAAGTGACCAAGTACTCTAAATACTCATATTAACAAAAATGAAAAGCTTTTATTTTTTTGTTTTTGTTTTAATTTATTTTTTATTGATTATGCCATTAGTTGTTCTATTCCCCCCCTTCATTCCTCTCCACCCTACCCCCCCGTCCCGACCATTACCCCCCTTTAGTTTATGACCATGTGTCTCAAGTTCTTTAGATTCTATATTTCCCATACTATTCTTGCCCCCCATCAATTTTCTATCTACTATTTATGCTACTTATTTTCTGTACCTTCTCTCTTTCTATCTACTGTCTATGCTACTTATTTTCTGTACCTTCTCCCCCCTTCTCCTCCTCCCACTCCCTATTGCTAACTCTCCTTGAGATCTTCATTTCTATATTTCTGCTCCTGATCTAGCTGTCCTTTTAGTTTGCTTTTGTTTTAGGTGTGGTTGTTAATAACTGTGAATTTGCTGTCCTTTCACTGTTCATGTTTCTTTAACTTCTTTTTCTTAGATAAGTCCCTTTAACATTTCATATAATAAGAGCTTGGTGATGATGAACTCCTTGAATTTGATCTTATCTGAGAAGCACTTTATCTGTCCTTCCATTCTAAATGAAAGCTTTGCTGGATAGAGCAATCTTGGTTGTAGGTCTTTGGAGTTCATGACTTGAAATACCTCTTTCCAGCCCCTTCTTGCCTGTAAGGTCTCTTTTGAGAAATCAGCTGACAGTCTGATGGGGACTCCTTTGTAGGTGACTGTCCCCTTAGCTCTTGC